AGGAATGTAAGATTCATAGGCTGGAAGGAGTATTAGTAAAAGGTAACCTCTTCCTGCAGCCCTAATTTTAGTGTACTTTGCTGGACAAGCAGATATGATAGATAACTGCTGGATAAAAATCAGAAGGAATTCCAGTAGTAAGGGTTTACAGTCTGGCTTTTTACTGTCCTAAATGAGTTCCCAAACTGTTGGTATACAGAGCCATGGTCTTTACATACTCTACTGCTATCCTACTGCTTTTTGCATTCTTGATTGCACAGTAACCTGGCTTTTCAGAAGGGTATACCCTTCTTTTCTGTGGGCTTTGGGTATCTACACAGAGGCAGCCTGGTTCTGGATCAATCAGTGATGAGATGGACCGAATGGCTCTCTCTATACTAGTAAACTAAACAAGGCCAAACCTTTCAGGGTTCAGGCGCCATGTTATGATTATCCATACTGTTTAACTGCTAGCACAGTCCCTTACACACAGTTTGGCCTGTGCCAGCAAGTGCTCTCCCAGACAATGCCCAGACACTCCTTGGGAACAGTGCAGGCAACAGATTGTTTCCATTAGGCAGAATGGGTGAGGCCACCCTGAATTGTGAGGATAAGAGATTTTAGCCATATGGATGCTATGTTGTGCTTCTTGTCCTCAGGGCTAGAGAATGAGCCATGGCCTGTTTTATTTATTAGTATAGCTGTAGCCAATAATTCTGTCCAAATGCGAAGAGATTTCTGCTGGGCTACTCACATATCTTTGGCAAGTGCTTGATGCTCGACGAAGGTTACTAGCCAGGCGCAGCTCCAGACTTGAGCTGAATTCATGTATTATGTAGTGCTGAGTCTGAAGCAGTAAACCCCATCCAAACTCAAGATCGGAGGGCACTACAGAACGAGGAGGGAGGATAATATGAAAACACGTAAGTAGATCTGGAGGGATTAGCTTGAGTCTGGCACGAAGCTAGAACTAACAAACCCTCCTGGTTCCTGCAGGGCCACTTAATTATCTTCGAACTACTCCACAGTATTTCCTATACCTGAAGTATGTTGCTGAGATGATGTGCTGACTCAACAATGAGCTGATGCAGGTGCCTGGGCCTGACTAGCTCAGATTCCAGTTTGCGTGCAAGCAGCCGTACTGCTTCTGGACACAAGATGGCCCGAGCCAACAGCTCTGTCAGAGCGTAGCCTGCCCATCGCAGAGCCAGCTCATATCATTCCATCTGTGAAGCAGTTGATATGCAACACAGATAAAGTAGCCAGAGAAAATAAGGTGTTTTTTTTTAATTGGTTGCTTGCTGTGTTGCTCTTTTTTTCATGCTGTTGATGTTTTCTCTTGAAAAAAATTTATAGGGAAACTTCTAAATTATAGTGAACAAAGAGAGGAAGATTCCTCCCTTAAGGAAAGGCTTGAATCATGAAAAATGAAAGTTTCTCATTTCTCAGTTGCTTTAATTGTTATACTGATAAACCAGCTTGGAAAGATTAACTTTTATTGAAAGAGTTCTAGTTCTGCCATCAAAATCTCAAAAATACTAATTTTTTGTATGAAAGAAAAGCCACATGTATAACTGATTCCTGGAAAATACAGAGTATTTGTAGTTCAAGTAGACATTTCCAGAAGCTAGGGGCCATGGGGGAAGCACAAATTAGAACTCTGTACTCTCAGAGAAAGTATCTCTTTAGGGAAGGAACTATATGTATTTACACAAAGGTATAAATCAAAGTATAATTATTCGATAATATACAGGTTAGATCTGGCTTGGTATACCAAGTGGAATTGTCAAGGTGTGTCACAGAAAATGTATGAAAGGAAGATACAGTATTTGTTAAGTGTTAAGAATCTTCTAAGTTCTGAACAAAATGAACTTAGAAGACAACCCCAGTACTGAGGAGTAAAGTCCTGTTCTGAAAGATGAACTTCTGAGGTTTAGCATGCATCTGTTCGTAGGATGGGACCTCCAGGATTTTTAAAAACATATTTTTGATTTTCAGTACCAAAAGTGCTATGAAGAGTGAAGGAAGTTTTAATATAGCAGTCAACTCAAATTTCTGTCAATTTATTACTTAATTTCAAAATGGAATCTAACATAGTACAATAGAAAAGTACTAGAACTATAGGTCTGACCTTAGGAAAATGCACTTATTAGGCCTGAACTAAGTATAGAACTGGTCAGGGCAAACCCTCTAGAGGCTTAACATTTAGTGAAAAGTAAGGGTGATCCTTTGGTCTGGAGAGGTGGAAGAGGGTCTGATATACTACTTCTATAGCTATTGTTAACATGGCAGGAAAAAGTACTGGAAGTTAGGGTGCCACAGTACTTGCCAGTCTTCCAGTATGTTTTCAGCTATTTATAGACGTTGCACCCCCATGTCAAATTTTAAAAAACTCTCAAACTACTCTGCAGATTTCTAGATAGCTAAATTAAAGAAATGTGTTTAAAAAGGTAGAGTAAGAAGTTATGCTGTATGTCACACTTTCAAGAACTGATTGAAGTGGTTTACCTGTATTGTGATTTCTTCAACCAGATACTTTACATACAGAAATTAAACATTATACTTCAATTATAATTATACTTTAATTATAAAATTAAACTTATAACATTAACATACTGAAAATAACAACTTTGATTTTATTTCTATATTTTAGATTTCGCGAATATAAAGCCATAGAAGCTTTGGTAGGACTGCTCACTGACCAGCCTGAAGGGGTTCTTGTAAATATTGTCGGAGCACTGGGAGAATGTTGCCAAGAGCCAATAAATCGAACTATTATCCGTAAATGTGGTGGAATACCACCTCTAGTGAAGTTACTTGCTGGAACTGATCAGGCACTACTTGTGAATGTCACCAAAGCAGTGGGAGCTTGTGCAACAGAACCTGAAAATATGATGTAAGCTATTCATATTCATAGCATTTTAAATACTGAAAAAAAAATTTTTTTAGTACTTCTGGCACAAATATAGTCAAGTCTAATCTGACTTAAAAGGATATTTTACTTCTTGTTTTCCACAGGGCTGTGTGGGTTAGTTCCATCCTACTGTAAAATGTGATATATATATATATATATAAAATTTCATTAAGGAAGTATATAGAATGTAAAGCTTTTATATTTTGGGGAAAATCAGATAAACCTTTAGTAAATTGATTTTTATTAAAGTTAAAATTCAGAGTTACAGAGCACCGTTTTAAAGTGCTGTATGATAGGTACCTGTTTTGCCTTCTCCTTTTACATCTGTTCTCAAATAATAAATAATAGCCTAAATTAGAGAAAGTAATTCCAAAAGGAAATGTGTACATTTACTGTCATGAAAAATAATTCAAAAATTTTTAAAAGAGTATTATTTGTATTTCATCTGTCTTGTCCCTCTCCATCATTCCTTTTATGAACTCAGACTTTTTTTTGACCCTTTTCTTCCCTCTTATTCCTTTGCAAAACCAAAGAAAAAGACTGTCTTTTTACTGAGAGAGTTGCTGCTCTCTTTGGTTTTGTGATGTAGATTTGTACAGCTTACAAAGATCCTTGAGTTTTATGATTAAGTGTTCCAGTTAAATGTTGGGGTCAGCATTTACTGTGCTTACTGTTCCCTTACAGGGAGGGATATTTACCTCAAGATTCTTGGCATATTTCCCTCCTTATAGATAAGAAAGGTCAGAAAGAGAGTTTTATTAAGCTCCTCCTGTTCTGATTTGCATAATTCACTTGATATTCATATAACAGAGCAGGGAATTCTTTTCCTGAATAGGGCTTTTGTTTTCATGCTTTGGCTGTCACCCAGTGGCAAAAGGCTAGATGGTACACAACTATAAACATGGGTTGTATGAACAGTTAGCCATGTAGCATAAAAGTATACATAAATGAAATCACTTTCATGACATAGCTCACTAAAATCAGCCTTTAGAGTAATGTATTAACCTAATAGAATTAACATTGTAAATCAAATGCCAATAAATATAAATTGATATTTATAAAACCACAGACATACTCCAGTACTCAGGACTATCACTTGTAGTATCCAGTATGGATAGCTTCATACTGGAATGTGGTCAGTATAAGCACCAAAAATAACAAAAGTTGCTGCTAAACTTATGATGAACAAAGTCCATCTTGTTTTTAAGAAGGAGAGAGTACAGATTGGTTGGGACAAAATTTTACGGAGTTTGCAAAGAGTAGACAAAGGGATCAAATGTCAAATTTGGTTCATATGAAAAAATTCTCTATTGAAGGTTCTCAACTTTTAAAATGTTTCTTAAAATACATTAAAACATTAACAAGTAAGCAAGATCTTAGGTCAAGAGTGGAATATACTTTTTACTACTACAAAAAACCCGTTACGCAGAAATTATTATAATTACCAAGACTGTGACATGTACCTGATGTATTGTGCTATTTAGACTTGTAGTACTAGGAGAGAGAATGCTGCTATCTTTTCCCAAAGTGTGATTCATCCAGGTGTGGATAAGTTTGATACCAATCCAGCAAAATATTTAAAAGCAATGCTTAGTTAAAACATTGACACCAGTGCAACTACTCAGATGTTTGAATGCTTTGCTTGGTTGAGTGCTTTGCCTCTCACAGGGTTAAGATACTAGATTTCCACACCCCCTCAAAAAAAGAAGGACATCCATTCCTCTCCCTTCTCCTCCTCTCAGACCAGCGGAGCAGGAGTTGAAATTGTAGCTCCTCATCCAAACTGCTCTCCTCCTTTTTGGGACGAGTAAGTCACCACAGACATGAAGGATATACAGTCTGTAGCATCACTTTGTTCCATTTACAGAATTTGGGACTAAAACAATAAGTAGTCTTGTTAGAAACTACTGTGGAGTTCATTCTCTTTCTGTAAACATTTTCTGAAGTTGTTAACCAAAAGGACACATCTTAACAAGGATATGGAGATGTGCTGTAGTGGGTTGACCCTGGCTGGATGCCAGGTCCCCACAAAGCCGCTCTATCACTCCCCCTCCTCAGCTGGACAGGGGAGAGAAAATATAACAAAAGGCTCATGGGTTGAGATAAGGACAGGGAGATCATTCAGCAATTACTGTCATGGGCAAACCAGACTCAACTTGGGGAAATTAGTTTAATTTATTACCAATCCAGTCACAGTAGGATAATGAGAAATTAAACCAAATCTTAAAAACACCTTCCCCCCACCCTTCCCTTCTTCCCGGGCTTCACTTTACTCCCAATTTTCTCTACCTCCTCCCTGCCCAGTGGCGCAGGGGAACGGGGAATGGGGGTTGTGGTCAGTTCATCATGCATTGTCTCTGCCGCTCCTTCCGCCTCAGGGGGAGGACTCCTCACACTCTTCCCCTGCTCCAGCGTGGGGTCCCACCCACGGGAGACAGTCCTCCATGAACTTTTCCAGCATGAGTCCTTCCCATGGGCTGCAGTTCTTCACAAACTGCTCCAGCGTGACTCCTTTCCACAGGGTGCAGTCCTTCAGGAGCAGACTGCTCCAGCGTGGGTCCCCCACGGGGTCACAAGTCCTGCCAGCAAACCTGCTCCAGCGTGGACCCCTCTCTCCATGAGTCCACAGGTCCTGCCAGGAGCCTGCTCCAGCGTGGACTTCCCACGGGGTCACAGCCTCCTTCGGGCATCCACCTGCTCTGGCGTGAGGCCCTCCACGGGCTGCAGGTGGATATGTGCTCCACTGTTAACCTCCATGGGCTGCAGAGGACAGCCTGCCTCACCACGGTCTTCACCACGGGCTGCAGGGGAATCTCTGCTCCGGCACCTGGAGCACCTCCTCCCCCTCCTTCTTCACTG